CAAAGATCTCCTAGACAACCTATTTAAAACTCTTCTGAAAATTATTTTACTTGCGAAAACATGTCTCTAAGTCTCTTCTTTCGCATGACGAAAACCGGAGCTCTCTGGCCGCTTTCTATCAAAAGTTATTCAAAAAACAACTACGGTTCTTATATTTTGAAATGGATAATAGTTAATAATTATGATTGAATGCGATTTTACCACAGTGAATACGATTTTATCGTGTACTGTAATGAAACAGAGCATATAATGATGTAAATATTTAATGACTTTTTGTTAATTTAAACTGTCCGAAACATACTTGTTATGGAAAGATTTATTTAATGGATTATTCTTGGAAATGAATTGATGGAATGTTGAGTGTTATTGATAAATAAAATTAAAGATAAAATAGAACATTTGTTGTCTAATCTTTAGTTTAAGAACTATAATGGTGCACCATAAAATGATACATAATTTGATAAATTTACTACCGATGTTATATAATAAGAATTATATTTGGTATAATAAATATCGAACAATAATGTACATAATGATTTGTTATATGTGCCTAATATTTCACCGTATTGATCAAGAATATACAAACTTGGCATTTGATTTGAATTACATACATACCGTCGACCAGCATAGTCTTGCACAATATTAGTGCACATTACTGAAGATGGTAATGTCGTATTCCATATACTAACGGTATTATTATTTGCATACCATTTGTATATGGTACCTTGAGCAGTTGTCCAAAAGTGATCATCAAAATACGTTAATGTTCGTTTACCGGATGATAAACCGGGTAAATTATAAACGTATGACGTGTTTGATGTCATCTGATTAATCACTGACACATATCCATTTGTATAACTATTCACCCATAATGATCCATTATAAATTGCTACATCATCAATTGGTGTAGCAAGGAGCTGTGAAACTACATATGTCATTAAAATATTGCCAGATGACAATATATCTAATTCTATTATTCGTGATGTACTTTGACTGGTAACACTATATGGATAGCCAAACGCATCTGTACGAAGATTAATTAGATTTGAATAGGCTGACAATGATTTTATCCAAATAGGAGTTGAGACTTTTTGTCCTTGTAATTGAGTGGCATATACGTATGACGGTGCTTGATAATATGCTATCTCATTGAATATGCTAATGCCAACACAAATTTGACTTGAAACTTCTTGGATCAACTGCAATGTATTTGTATATTGATTGAATGGCATTTGTATATTGACTCCGCATATATAAGCAGGCTCCGTATTCGGATATTGACAATAATTAAGAGCTAAAACGGTATAATTCAATTGCTGTGGAATCAATGTTCCAACATACCAGTTTTCTCGATACAATGTACACAATTGATTACTTAAATTTACGACAGCTGTTCGACAAGAAATGTGTTTATTGCATATAATAGCACATAATTTCCATGGAACAAATTGTCGATGAGGATAAATTGCAACAATAGATATAAACATTCTTGGCTGAGATGGTTGATAATTTGTATTTATGTGCACTTTTAAATTGGTTTTTAACACAGTTTGGGTTAATATTGTATTGTGATTAAACAATAATACAAAAATTAGAATAGTTAACATATTGCTGAGATATTGCGTATGTTCATATGTGAATAAAAGTGTGTTGACTTTGTGATAATGAATTTTAATATTTTCATTCCAAAAAAATTTTTTCCATACAAACGCTTCATTGAACCTTTTTATTGTCTATGTTGAGATACGAGAGTACTTCTGGTTTATTAAAATGTCAAAATTTTATAGAAACATAATGATCATCATTATGAGAGAGTTGAAAAAATCGACTTTTTTAGCGTTAGACGGATCGAGCTGAAATTTTGGGAAATGAATTATGACTATTAGTTAAACATTTCCGGACAGTTTCCCGTTTGAAATCTTGATGATTGCAAAGATAATTGTTTTTATGGGCGGAGAGCAGCGTATGGATGGGCTAGACACGCGCGCACAAACAGTTTGAGCTATTTATCGATTTGTCCAAGCGTCTTTTTTCCGTGGCAGTCACATATCAATCTCGTCGTGCCAAGAGAACATAAATAAAAAAGTTTCGAAGTCTTGCCACACTGAAAACAGAAACATCAACAACTTTCTAGAACAAAATTCAGCTTTTTGCTTTTACGTGTTCTCATGTTGAGATACAAAAGAAATAAATGAGGCATTTTGTAGAACTTGAGAAGCTCTGTCTTTCTACGGTATTCAAAAATTTTAAAAACAAAATCCTAATGTAAAAAATAAACTTTACTTTTTTCATGTTTTTAGAAGGTTGTTTTCTCTGTTCTCCGAACACTCATGTAACGGACCAGCGAACCTTCCCAGATGTCAAACTCTTATGATCTTATGCCAATTGATACGAAGGTCCACATTTATAGTATGGATCATCAGCTTTCAAATAAAAAAGTATTTATCTCAAAAGCGCAAGCTTTGGCTGACGAGGGAACCTTCGCAGGTGTCAAACTCCGCTTTCAATCATCGTATGCCGGTTGATAGAGGAAAGTGTTCGAGTTAAAATCCTAAAAGAATTTGTGTCCATGGTACTTCTTTCAAGAGTTATGACTTTTGTCTGTTTCGCTAGGAAAACAGGCACAAAAGAAGATCGTTCGGTAATCTTACCAAACCATTACAATGATGAAGTGCTTATTTCAACGAATAGATTTTCACTAAAAACCTTTTGTGAGAAAAAAATTTGTGTCACAGAGTTATTTTAGTAAAACGACATTTTTAATTGATCCAAATGTTTTCTGTAAGAAATTTTTTTTATCAGCGGTTAGCTCGTCAGCTTCTTTACAAATTTCTCTCTACACACTCTTCATTCACCCAAGTCTATGCACAGGAAATTAGCAATTTATAACATGTACTCGAAAATGAGGGTTGTTTTTGTCACCGTGTTACCAGCCGAAAAGTTTTCCTGTAGGCCGGCGACTTGAATCAAATTTTCTCATTTTTACACCTAAATAGAGAAATTGTTATACCCATCTCCTTTTATTCCAACAACAGAATCAGAAAAAAACAAAAACTTCCCTCTTGTAGAGAAAACCTCACAATATATAGACGTGAGAGAGAGAGAGAGGGAGAGAGAAAAGAATCTGAACACAATGAATGTAGCTATGATAAGAGAAGGAATGATGATAGAGAGAAGGAATGATGACAAAGAGAAATGCTATTTGGGAGAGCCATGACTTATGTCAGTAACGACTGACATAACACTTCCCCCGGTGTTTTAAGATAATAAGCACAGGTACACGTGAAAATGACTGCAATAATCGAGATAAGAAAAAGGATACATATATTCCAAAACAGAAGAGGAGCTGCTAAGATTAAAAGCACATGTGAACATAAAAAGAAAAGTAAACGAATAAAACTAGAATAAAACGCAACACCGGTCCAGCTGCCACCGTCCTTGAGATAGCCCAGGACCGTGAATAGCGATTCGAAAAAGATATAGATTAGCTAGAAGACACGTTCATATACAGGACGTAGATTATTTACATGTACTATCTGTTCATAATGATCATTTTGATGTAATACTTGATAAGTTACTGGAGATAGGACTTTCACGATAACGAACGGTCCTGTATAACGAGGATCGAATTTTGATCGAGAACCTAATATTTGTAGCCACACAAGCTCATTGACAGTATACGATGGATGCGAACGATTTTTATCATATCGGGTTTAAGCTAGACGTTGTTGTTCAGCGATATTGGCTTTAATAACATTTTGGATAAAATTTTTATACGTAGCGATTCGCAACCAGTAATCATTTACACGAGAAAAGTTTGTTGCGGTTGATCGAAAGGAAACCGAGGATGACGACTGAACGCAATTTCGTGAGGTGTATAGTTGGTGGTTGCATGTTTGGTATTATTGTACGCATAAATTATATATTTCAAATAATGGTCCCAGTTTTCGTGATTTGATGAACAATATTTTGATAGTTGTTGACAAAATGTAGCATTAAACCTTTCTACTTGTCCATTTGTTTGTGGATGAGATGCAATGGAGAAGATATGCTTTGTTCCAAGCATTTGGGTGAAAGCAGTGATGAGTTCATTTGCGAAATGAGTTCCTTGATCTGTGATGACACAATCGGGAGCACCGTGATGCAAGATGAAGTCTTCCAGTAGAGTTTTGGCGGTGTTAGCACCATTACTTGCCGGTAAAGCAGTGGCAATAACATATTTAGATAAAAAATCTGTAATAACTAACACATATTTGTTGCCATCGGCAGACTCTTCAGGTGCTGGGCCCCATCAATCCAGGCCAATCACCTGAAATACTTCATTGGGTGGTGGAATAGGCTGTAAATGACCAGGTGGTTTTTGACGCCGAATGTTGAATTGTGTACATTGTGGGCACGATTGAATATAGTTGGTTACGGATTCGAGCATTTTTGGCCAATAATATTTCTCGCGGAGATGATGGTAAGTTCGGTCGATGCCAAAATGACTTCCAAGTGGATGATCGTGGTGAGCGAACAGGATGCCTGGTATGAGGCTGCTAGGTAGATATGGTAGAGGTGTAGGTCCGTGTTTAGTTAGAACAATTTTATGCAGAATTCCATCGGAAATAAGATAAGATATATTAACTTTTTATTGAGAGAGTCGAATTTTGTCCACGATTATCGCATCATGTTGTTGTTCCGCGCGAAGTTTATCATGACTAAAATCGAGAATTTGAGATAATAGTGGTGGTGCCGTCGAAGAGAGAGTTGTCGGTGACGGTGTCGACATCGGGTTTGGAGGTGTCTGTTGAGCCATAGATCGACTGGTGACGGCCTGAAGAAGTGAAGATTTCGGAGGGTAGTCGGTTGTGGTTTGACGAAGAGTACGTGGAGGTTTAATGAGAGGTTCGTGCCATTCGTCGCCTTCTATGGAGCCATCAACATCAGGAAAGAAATTTGATGAACGAGATAATGCATCTGCCGCTCCGTTTTTTGATCTTGGAATATATTTCATGTCCACTTGCAGGAGCATGTCTTGGATTTTCAAGAACCAGTTATCAACACGTTTATTATTCATTGATTGTTTATGACAGTTGACTGCTGGCTTATAATCGGTTTCAATAACAATGTTATGAGTGCCAATGTAATCACGTAGCTTGGAAAGGCAATAATAGATGGCAAATGGTTCACGTTCGGTATTTTTGTATCGACGTTCTGTAGGACTAAGTTTCTTGGAAATGTAATAATTCATTCGGACACCACATAACGTTTCTTGCCATAAAACACCTCCAGTTCCGACTTCTGAAGCATCAGTGCACAATATGAAGGGAGCTGAGGTATCAGGATAGTCTAATAGTAATGGTTGAGTTACGAGGATTCGTTTAAGGTGATGAAAGGCTGTTGTTTGTTCTGGTCTCCAATAAAATTCACGTCGTTTGTTCTTAGTTTTATTTGTTACGCGATGAACTGGAGCCGCCATGTCGGCAAAATGTAGTATAAACTTCCGATACTAATTCATTTTTTCGATAAATCTGTTTGCTTGTTTTAACGTCCTTGGTTCTTCTAAGTTCAATATTGCTTGTATACGATCTTGAGATGGTGTTATTTGTTGTTCGGTGATGGTATGTCCGAGAAACTCTAATTTTGTAGTCATGATGGTACATTTGCCAGGATTTAGTTGAAAATTAGCTTCATGAAGAATTGAGAGAATTTTGGCGATATGTTTTAAGTGATCGTCCCGACTTTTAGAAAATATCACGATATCGTCCAAATATACCAAAACATAATCCAAGCGTCCATTTCCATTCAAATTGTTCATTACGCGTTCGAAAGTCGGAGACCCGTTCATCACACCCTGAGGATGGACATTAAATTGGTACAGACCGTCTTGGGTAATAAAAGCAGTCTTTTCTCGATCTTTTAGATTGATCGGTATTTGAAAGTTGTCTGACTTTAAGTCTAATTTCGTGAAATATTTATGGCCACCTAGACGATTAATTAATTCTTCAACTGTAGGTTGTGGATAGGCATCTTTCTTGGTGACTGCGTTGAGCTTCCGATAGTCAACCAAAAAACAAAACTCGCCATTATTTTTTTCTTGCAGAATGACCGGTGACGACCAAGGCGAATTAGACGGTGAGGCAATACAATATTTTAAAAATTTGTCCATTTCATTCTGTAACTGTTTACGTTCGTGTATAGGTTTAGGATATGGTTTCGAGTTTACTGGTGGATGATCGCCAGTATTAATAGTATGTAAATTTTTTATAGAAGCCTGTGTTGGTACGGAAGTGTCGAATAATTGTAGATGCTGATACAAGATCTGTTGGACGTTCGTGGCATCAGTTTTGTCATGAAGGTGGTCGGTGAGACGAGATACCGTATCGAGAAGCGTATTATGTTGTGACGGTATGTGATGTGTTGGCGATAGCACGGAAGGTTCAGTAGAAATGTGCGAAAGGACCACAGGCGTATTAATAGCACTTACGAACGATGGAACTTCGGTAACAGAGTGAAATCGAGATTGTCTTGTGTCAAGAAACGTGGCATTACCTACTAGTGTGTTAATTGGTAATGTGCGAGGAAATGAAGACGGATTGTATACTATTAAAGCACCTTTATAATTCTTAACATTCAATAAACCATCCGACAGCATAACGTTTTTATTGAATTGCAGCTGAGAATTAGATTTAAAATAAACTGTGGCGGCCCTGAAGATCGGCAACGTAACGGCTACTAGATATTCTTCACGTGGAAGTAGTTGAATCGTAGATGTAAGACGAACGGGTACAGACACGTTAGGTTCAAATTGAACGGACGTTTGCAGGCCATGATGACGAAGGGTTAAGCGATCATCTAAAATATGTACTTTATGTGTCTGTCGCCAGTCATTGCTTAAGATAAATTCCGACGTTAATGAATCAACGACCAAAGCTTTAACAAAAGTCTTAATGTTATTAATTGTAACTGGAAGGTTCACGTAGCCATAAGTCTTCAACAAGGTGGTGCCGTCGCCTAGTTTCGCAGATATTGATGTTGGTTGAATAGGTGGAGAACGATAAAGCTTAGATAATAATGGTTTTTGAATAAGAGAAGTGTTGGCACCAGTATCGACTAGAGCGTGAACGAAACGGTTATTTGCAAGTACGCGAATAAATATTAAAGATGGGTTTTGTTCTAAATCAGGGGCATCACCATCTGGAAACCCCGTTATTTGTTTAAACAGCCGCGAGCATAATGTCCCGGTTGACCACATCGATAGCAAATGTTCGGACGATTTCTTGTGTTTGGTGCGTATGATTTACGAACTGGCGAGGCCGACGAATAACTGGATGTTGGATAACAAGAATGTGAATAATATTGTGACGATGAAGAAGGATAGGACGGCGATAATGATGTAAATGATGGATGTTGAATAGAAGAGACAGGATAGATACTGGATGATTAAAAGCATTAACTTTAAAAGCAGCCCATGTGGTTATGTGCTCTACTTGTGTCAGATACCATTTTAAAGCTTCACCAGTTAGAAATTGTATTGACCATTTAAGTTGTGATTCATCGAAATTTAATGTAAAAAATTTTACATGTAATAGTCTTAACCAGTCATCAATATTTTCGTTCTTCTGGCCAGAAAATTTTGGAAAATCTTTAATGACGGCATCGAACATTAAATCATCAGTGTTGGTCATTGTGACAGTATTATTGATAATGGATTGTGTAGCTTCTATAGTTGTGGGTAGTTGTCGGTATATTCGTCCACTTCTCGTTGACATAGAATTAATGAATAACACTGTGGTATCAGTTCGGCTAGTGCACCATTGTTATACTCATTTCCTTTTATTCCAACGACAGAATCAGAAAAAAACAAAAACTTCCCTCTTGTAGAGAAAACCTCACAATATATAGACGTGAGAGAGAGAGAGAGAGAGAGAGAGAGAGAAAAGAATCTGAACACAATGAATGTAGCTATGATAAGAGAAGGAATGATGACAAATAGAATGTTATTTGGGAGAGCCATGACTTATGTCAGTAACGACTGACATAACAGGTGAGCTGCATGGAATAACGTCAGAACGAACCTTCTGTCTTCTATAGCTTATGAGAAAATTAAAAACAATAATACGCCGTTTTCACACAGTTAACTTGTCGTTTTTTAGGTGACCATATAGTGGTCGTTAACCGTCTCTTAACGTACCATTCTGTTTGAACGGAGAACCTGTACATCACGATTAAAATCGAAACTGTATTTGAGCGACCGCTATTCTTCTTACGTGAAAAAAAGACAACAGTAGATTAAGTTTCAATCTAATCAACGATTTGCTCGAGGTTTCATAAGTTAGAGTGCAATTGAGTTATCCTAATGAAACATGGTATTAGTGTGTCTCATTTATCTTGAAAATCTTTTTGAATCACTTTACATTATGCAGTTGACTATATCGATAGAAACTTGGCAAGCATATTCTACCATACGTGGATATAAAGAAAACTAATATAGAACTGCTATGAATTCATAGCAGTTCTATATTCGATTTACAAATACTTATTTCCAACTGCTCTACCAACAAATTTCATAAAGAAAACTGTTTTGAACAACTTTCTCGATATGCTGAAAAGAAAATCACATGACTCTGACAAGTGTTCGCATATTATTCATTGCATTTTGCGCAACGTGGATATAACTGCGGTGAGCAAAAAAATCAATCATACATCGAAAAAATCTTTTTTCAAACAGTTCTTTATACTGAGCAAATATGTTGAACAAATTCTCCTTTTATCAATCGATAGCTCTAACATTCAACATTAAGTATCGTAAGTTTCGTCTGCTCTCGTTGAGTCCTTCTTGACTTTATTCGAGTTTGATGGAGCATTATTAATCATACACTTTATTTTTTACGCCTATATTTCAAAAGTGTAAAAGCTTATTTTGTCAAAAACCTTTAAAAGCATCTGAAAAAGCTATTTTCTCATTTCTCCTCGATTAAAATTAAATTTCAAGTGCATCATTGAAAAGAGCATGACAAATGGCATTCGGATACCATCTCTTTTCTCAGCTTCTCATCAGAAACAAATATCAGCTCACTCAAGTTCTCAGATGGCTTATTCAAGTCTTGTGCCCCTTCTAGCTGCTATCATCGTTAAAATAGACATCCTGAGGTATGAACCAAATCAAATCATCCGAAGTCGTTTTCTTTCGGAGCAGTAATAGATCCAGGTTAACAGCAGTACCCAGCGATTTAAGAGAGTTCACAATACTTTGTCTCTGTTGATTATACCGCGTACATGCGCGAAAGTAATATTTTTTTTCACCACAGATACACACATCTGTGTTACCGAAGATAAGATATGAAATTCTTTTAGACATTCTTTTAAAAGCGGCAGATCAACTCAGCATTCTGACAAGTCAATGATTGTTGTGTGCATACGACTGTTATTATCTTTACTGAATTTTAGATGGAAAATCATACCATTCTAGGCATTTTTGTAAAAAACGTGTTGCTGATCAATTTGATTACTTAGATTTCTCACAGAGAAGTAGCGTCTTCTCCCAGCTGGAAGATTGCGTGCAGAGCAGTTAACGATTAGATGTATATGTTCAACCAGATATACTGGTGCATTACAACGAATTATGCCAAAAAATAGTGTTAGACGGGGTTATAGAAAATAAATTCGAATTTCGAAGTCTTGCCACACTGAAAATAGAAACATCAACAACTTTCTAGCACAAAATTCAGCTTTTTGCTTTTACGTGTTCTCATGTTGAGATACAAAAGAAATAAATGAAGCATTTTGTAGAACTTGAGAAGTTCTGTCTTTCTACGACATTCAAAAATTTTAAAAACAAAATCCTAATGTAAAAAATAAACTTTACTTTTTCCATATTTTCCAAAACAACACGTTTTTAAAAGGTTGTTTTCTCTGTTCTCCGAAAACTTATGTAACTCACCAGCGGACCTTCGCAGGTGTCAAACTCCGCTTTCAATCATCGTATGCCGGTTGATAGAGGAAAGTGTTCGAGTTAAAATCCTAAAAGAATTTGTGTCCATGGTACTTCTTTCAAGAGTTATGACTTTTGTCTGTTTCGCTAGGAAAACAGGCACAAAAGAAGATCGTTCGGTAATCTTACCAAACCATTACAATGATGGAATAACTGTTATTCACATAGAGAATCAATTACATCACCCGAAACAAAACGAATTAAATAAATTATAGAGAGCGAGGAGAGAGAAAATCCATTAGGAAACAGTACTAGGATCACATATGATTAACCATAACAAAAGAAAAATGAATTATTGGAAAACATGGTTTATTTAAAAACAAGGAAAATTGAATAGATTCTTTTCTAGAGAGACTGAAACGCTGATTCTGTCTATGGTGTTAATCGAGTATTAGAATAATCGTGGAAAAAAATGTCGGCTGAAAATTCGCTGTTATTATCGAGACAGAAAAATTTTAGTGCTTTTGTACTCGTTTTCCCAATGAAACGAAAAGATTCGTAACTCTTGAAGGAAGTATCATGGGCACAAATCCTTCTAGGATTTTAACTCGGACACTATCCTCTATCAACCGGCATAAGATGACTGAAAATAGAGTTTGACACTTGAGAAGGTTCCCTCGTCAGCCAAAACTTACGCTTTTGAGATAAATGCTTTTTTATTTGAAAGCTGATGATCCATACTATAAATGTGGACCATTGTTTCGAACAAAAGTTTGTTTTTGTTCACCATGTTCAAGCGCGAAGATTAAATATAACGAATTTCTGACTTTTTTTTACAAAAATTAGGTTCTTTATCGCCATTTTAAAACTGAAGTGTTCTCCTGCACGTTGTTAAAAAGGATTCCAGGATTTGTTGTTATTAATGTTTGTTTCCATGAAAAAGAACGCGGTTATCACCACTTTTATCGTCAACCGACGTTTGAGCGCCCGACATTTGAGCGCCGACATTTGAGCGCCGACATTTGAGCGCCCGACATTTGAGCGACTCCGACATTAGACACTTTTCAATATGACTTTTTGCCGATCAGGAAAGTCGAATGATTATTCACTTCGATAACGATGATCAGAACAATTTTTTTGTCGCCCGATTATCACTGGGGTGAGGGTGAGTGGGGGTGAGGGTGAGAGTGAGCACTTAGTGCTGAACGGTCGTTATTACTCAAATGTCGGTTGCTCAGATGTCGGGGCGTTCAAGTGTCGGTCGCTCAAATGTCGGGCGCTCATTGTCGGTTAATCCACTTTTATAGAGGAAAGAAAATGTTAATAACCGTGGTCTGAATCAAATTTTTTCAAAAAGAACGATCAGAAAATAAACCGATTCACATTTTTATGACGCTTTTCGTGTGTGGAATTCAAGGGTCACACTCAAGTCATTTTACGCTCTGAACTTTTACGAGTTATTGCTTGGGATCTTTACTATTTTTAATTAAAGTAGTACAGTTTCAGTCCAGCTCTTTTGAACGAGAACTGGTCACTCGCTCCTTTCAAAAAAACTTTGACTGGTTGCTAGTTCTCTGCAGAAGAATAGGATCTCTTATCATGCTGAAAAAGATGCTCGTTTCACGCAGGACGACTAAATAGTATACAGGTATGACAGCTTTTCTCATTCAAGCTTCAAAGTTCCGGTTCTTTTAACAACGTCGCAGAAAGCGAGGGCCAGTTTGTGTTCTCTTGAAAAGAACTGAATTTGTGACTAGTGATTTATTGTTAATTTATTGCAATACTTCAATGAGTCGAGTTATGTGTTCAACACTGTCAGGCCTCAAAACAAGTCACAGTTGTTTTATAGCTTTATTCTGTCAGAATACAAGAGGAAGAATATTCCATTATAGTATTCTAAAAGTCACAGTTTGAGGGGCTCGGCACCTAAAAGATCTGATTTTGACTTGTTGACAACGATTCGGGTGAAAAGTATCGTCGACTAAAAGAAGCCGCGCCCGTGCCCATCCTCAAATTTAGAAAACCTGTACTTTGAGACAACATACATGAGAATTGCATCTCACCTTGCAAATAACGGTGCTCGTTTAAAGTCTGTTTAGTGTTTAACGGAACACATGGTTATACAGGATTTTAATAGTGCAGAATCTAATTTAGTGGATAAATTAACTTTTGCATTGCTTTTGGCGATACCTATGAATGTAACGAGTCCGACAGAATAAATGATAGTCTCAATATTTTCCCAATATCAGTTCTTAGCCTTTTCAGATAAATTTTTTCAAAGGTTGAGGGTTCAATTCTGTACAAAACCATAGGTGAATGAG